CTGGGGTTACTTGGTGAGAACCTGTCTGAAAACACCAACAAGGGTTGCAAGTAATGACTTGGCCAGTGTGCCAAGTCTCTGGTGGATTCCCCAGTACTGTTTCTTCTTCAGAAAATTATGGAGTTGGGGCTTTGCCCACAGATCTAATCCCCTGGAGCAGGAGATCAAGGCAGTTGTGAGCCACTGGATAGGGTAATCCAAGCTAAGTCCTCTGAAAGAGTAAGAAGTGTGCTAAACATCTGCTTTTCAACCACCACTCCCAGTAGCTTGTTGTTGTTGTTGTTGTTATTATTATTATAAGACAAAATAGGCAGTTCCTCTAGTGCCTATCACAGGCTGTGTTCTTAGGAATGAACAGGGTTTTAGAGTTCCAGGTCCTGGGCCTCGTTTGGTCTGTCTGTGTTGTGACTGAGACGTGGGATAAAATGATTTTAAAAGTAGGAGATAGTCAGGTGTGTTGGCACACATCTGTAATGTGAGCACTTGGGAGGCTGAGACACATTGTGAGTTTCAGACCCTGTCTCCAAAAGAAAGAAAAGTCAATTTTAAAAATAAGGATTATAAAAAGTTGCCACCTAGAGATAACACTGAAATTACTACCTTTAGCGCCACCTTCCCCTCCTTTTTTTTTTTTTTTTTTTTTTTTTTTTTTTTTTTTTTTTTTTTTTTTTTTTTTTTTGGTTTTTCGAGACAGGGTTTCTCTGTGGTTTTGGAGCCTGTCCTGGAACTAGCTCCTCTTGTAGACCAGGCTGGTCTCAAACTCACAGAGATCCGCCTGCCTCTGCCTCCCAACTGCTGGGATTAAAGGCGTGTGCCACCACCGCCCGGCTTCCTTTTTTTCTTTTGGTGTTTTGAGACAGGGTTTGTCAGGGTAACAGCTCTGACTGTCTTAGAACTTGCATCCAGGCTGGCCTCTAACTCACAGAGATCTCCCTGACTCTGCCTTCCAAGTGCTAGGTATGTACTACCACTGCCCGACTACCCTTAGCCATTTTGTATTGACTTTTCTAATCATGTGTGTACGCTCTTTAGGAACATTTTAGGAAAGTACTTTGTACCCCTTCATGCACAGCCCTGTACATCTTAAATTTATCTTTCTGTACAGCTTTCTTGTGAGGCTCCTGCAGTCTGTACTGTTGACTCTTCTTTATTAAGCATCTCTCTTCTATTGGATATTTGACTTGTTTCCAATCTGTCACTAAGCATTTTGTTACATTTATTAGCAAATGCCTGCCAGTCCTGTATCTTGATGATTCCAGTGGCCTAGAACAGACAGATTGACACCCATCAACACCCATCGTTACCATGTGGGTGTTCTGAGAACTTTTGTTCTCATGCATGTTGGTGCCTTCCTACTGGCTCACTGCCAGTCTAGAATGGCCTCTGGGGAGCCATCTGTCCTGGTAGAAAGCAAATAAAGGCTGTGACCCTCATTGAAAGTCTTAGAAGAGGGCTGGAGAGATGGCTCAGAGGTTAAGAGCACTGACTGCTCTTCCAGAGGTCCTGAGTTCAATTCCCAGCAACCACATAGTGGCTCACAACCATTTATAATGAGATCTGGTGCCCTCTTCTGGCATACAAGCATACATGGAAGGAATGTTGTCTACATAAGAAAGAAAGAAAGAAAGAAAGAAAGAAAGAAAGAAAGAAAGAAAGAAAGAAAGAAAGAAAGAAAGAAAGAAAGAAAGAAAGAAAGAAAGAAAGTCAGTCTCAGAAGAAATGCATGCCCTTCTGATAAACTGCCACTGCCTACTAATTCCAGAAAAGTCTGATTGGCAATCACTAAAACATCACTGTTAACATGTATGTCCATTTTGAACTTACTGAGAGAATAAGTCTCACGTTAACATATAACTACTTTGTGTGCAAAGTTCAACCCAGACTCACTTCCTCCTTCCTGGTTTTTTTGTTTATTGTTTTGATACTGGGGATTGACCCCATGGCCTAGTACGCACAAAGCTGATATTCCTTCACTGAGCTAACACCCTTAACATTTTTTGAAATTATTTTTTAATTAAAAAGCTCACACTTTGGGTTAAAAAATGATATATGGACACTTGGGAAGAACTAAGGATCTTCAGATTTGTTTGTGCAGCATGTATTTCTAAGAAAGATCTCATATCTGTTGTTCTTAAATGCCCTGTTCCTGGTGTTCACAGCAGCTCTGCCAAGGGAGATTCCATTGTCTGCTTTGTAAACTGTAAGGCTTGAGTTTAACAGGATCCTTTTCTGTGTGATAACAGAATGTGCTTTGACATATGGTGCCTGTTGTCTTTCTGTGTGTTCTTTGTTCTTCCAGTCATGTGTGTTGAAAAACTTAACAGATGCTTACTTGAGCAGTTGAGGCATTGCATGTGAATCCTTCCTTTGAGAATGATGTGTGGGGAAACCAAGTAGTCTACCATGGACCAACATAAAGAACCGAGACTACTGTGTAGCAGGTTCCATGTGTATTGAGAGTCCTGTATCGTAGACCAGCATGGACTGTGAAGCCTTAGACAGGTGGATAGAGTTTGTATAGGTGGGAAGCAAAATATCCAGCAGAGCAGTCTAGACAAAGAGACCTGCATGTTTGAGCAAGGTGCTTACAGGGTATTTGGGAATGAGTACCTGAGACAAGATACCTGTTGAAGATCAGTGGATCAGAAAACCTCACAGGCCATGTTCTGAAGGACTTTGAAAGGTTTAGACTCAAGTGATGAACTAACTAAAGGGGACATTGCTGGAGTGGAAGACACTTGAAGTCCTGAGTTCAAGCCCAACCAGCTTTAAAAAGATAGGTACCAAAAGACAAGTGAAACTAACATTTTTAACTATTCAAAATATCATGGTTTCAAAGGGCAGCACTAAATTACATTTTCTAGTGGCCATGTGAAGGAGAGCCGTGGCCTAGTGAGAAGACAGAAAAGCAGACATGAAGATAGCTGTTTTGATGAAGGACAGGTGGTGAAAAGAGGGGCTTGCTGTCACTTGCTACTCTTTTCACTGTTCTACTACTGCCTGTGGCAAGGGACTGTGGAAACTTTTAATCGGGAAGTGTCTTTACTGGGAATTTCAGAGGATGGGCCTGATATCAGAGATGTGAACTAGCTAGAGGTAATGGTAGATGTCACTATCGATGGAGAAAGAGGAACTGTTTCATTCTTCCTTGTCTGTGCTTTCCTCCAAACTACTAGATGTTGTGTAACCCATTTCCTGTTGAAATTGGCCTAGCTGCTCCAAAATCCATGTTATATAAGTCTAGAGTTACATAAGCAACAGGCATCGGGACCTTTATTTTAATATGTTTTCCTGTTTCTTTGTATGTATAATTGAAAGTTTTAGAAACTGATAAATGAGTATCAGTTTTCTTTTTAAAGACATACCTTTAGTCTAAAGTAACATGATGGTTTTTAATCTCAAAGAACTCTGTGACAATGTCAAAGAATCTTGAAATAGTCCCAAACCAAGAATGGCTCCATTTGAGTTCAGATTTATTTATTTTTATCTATATAGGTGTGTATGTATACCTGCATGTATATCTGTGCCCTACTTATGTGTGACTGTTGCCCACAGAGGGCATTGTATCCCTTGGAATTAGAGTTGTAGATGGTTGTGAGCTACTGTGTGTGTGCTGGGAATTAAACCCAAGTCATCTAGAAGAACAGCCGCTGCTCTTAACTGACGAGCCATCTTTCCTCCCAAAAGTTCTTTTATGTACTGCATGTGCAGTGTAGCAGAGTCACTCGGGAACTTGGGCTAGTAGAAGACCACCCTTTGAGGACTATCCATGGACTTTTAGGACTGCTGTAACTGAAGAGGGGCTAGGACCTGTACTTAGTGTGTTAACAATTTGGGCCTGGAGAACTCTCATTTCTACTGACATCTCATCAGCAGAAGTACTTGCTGTTTGACTTTTAGCTGCTGTGGGATGCTGGGAAGTGGACCGTGAGAAGACGCTTCTGTATTACTGGTGTTGAGCTAAGGCTGTTTTTATTTTATTAAGAATAAAATTTTATGTGTATGGGTTTGTGTCTATATGTATGCCTGTGGAGCACATGCATGCCTAATGCTTTCAGAGACCAGAAGTGGGGTGGGGTGGTCAATCCCATGGAACTGGAGACACAGGCAGGTTTTGTGGGGTTTTTTTGTTTTTTGGTTTTTTTTTTTTGGTTTTTCGAGACAGGGTTTCTCTGTACCTTTGGAGCCTATCCTGGAACTAGCTCTTGTAGACCAGGCTGGTCTCGAACTCACAGAGATCCGCCTGCCTCTGCCTCCCAACTGCTGGGATTAAAGGCGTGCGCCACCACCGCCGGCAGGCAGTTTTGAACTGCCATGTAGACGTTGGGAATTAAATACAGGTTCTTTGGAATAGCAGGTGGAAGTGAGTATTCTTAACCTCTGAGCCATCTCTCCAACCCCAAATTAAGGTCACTTTTTAAAAAGTTAAAGAACCTGTATGTAGCATAACTTAAAAACGATTGTTTCAGGGGTAGGGGGACTGTCAAGATGGCTTTGGCAGGAAAAGGAGATTGCTGCCAAACTTGATGACCCAAGTTCAGACCCTGAAACCCATGAAACATGGTGGGGGAGAGAACCAGCTCTGACAGTTGTCCTCCCTTCCCCACACATGCCCATGTGTGCACTCCCATGTGCACATAAGCAAATGTTTAAAAGCAAATAGTTTTTAAGTAGTTTCTGTATGTCGGGAAGGATGAACAAGCTGTAGAATTGGACAGGCCAGCTAGAAAGCCTTGACACCTCTGTGTTCTACTTGGTTTGCTGTTTTGGGTACATCATTTTCTTTAATTGTGTTTTCTAAGAAGGTGGAAGGATTATTGAGAATATTCCTACCATGTAGGATTGTTGGTAACAATTGACCAAAATGATTTAAAGGCCTCAGCCCAGTCCTGACTCTGTCGATGTTCAGTACATGCCCACATTCTTGATGGCATTGGGGGGTGCGCTTCTGAGAATGTCAGAAGCCTGACATTGCTTTCTCTGTGCTCTTGCTGTTATAGGAATGACCATGGACAAAAGCGAGCTGGTACAGAAAGCCAAACTTGCTGAGCAAGCTGAGCGCTATGATGATATGGCTGCAGCTATGAAGGCTGTAACAGAACAGGGACATGAACTCTCCAATGAAGAGAGAAATCTACTCTCTGTTGCCTACAAGAATGTGGTAGGTGCCCGTCGTTCTTCCTGGCGTGTCATCTCCAGCATCGAACAGAAAACAGAGAGGAATGAGAAGAAGCAGCAGATGGGCAAAGAGTACCGCGAGAAGATAGAGGCTGAGCTGCAGGACATCTGCAATGACGTACTGGTGAGGGCAGCGCTTCTGCTTTTCACATCTGTCTCTAGGAGTGGTCCAGATACAAGCTCTAAAAACAGCTTAGGAGAGAGTGGAGGTATTCCACTATACTCCAAAGCTGAAAACCATTTGTAATTTATCTAAAGGATGTAATGTAATTTTCATTACTCTTTCTTGATCAGTTCATCTTTTCTAAGATGTTTTCCATCTCTGAAAAAGACCTACAACAAACAGGAGCATTTCATCAACATTCCTCGGGTTTTCTTTAGATATTGGGGTTAGATGGAGAGGGTAATCACAAAGGGGCACTCAGTAGTAGGCTGCTCTAGTAGTCTCAGGAGTGAGTCGTCTAGAAAGAAAGAGATGTCAATGTAAAGGCCCTTCAGCCTCTCCTTGGTCATGCTCTCACAAAGTGTAGAACTTTGATATTGAAGGTTAGGCACATCTGCCTGCTGCAGTGTACCGTCCAAAGCCAAATCAGAGGTGGTATCGGGCTTCTCCTGTGTGTTATATACTCTACAGTCAGGTGGTACAGCCTTCTTAATACATTTGGGGTTGGACGGGAGGATTGGTTGCCTATCCTAGAATACCTCATAATTATATTCTTTCCCTCATGTCTGGAGCCCACTGGGAATGATTATTTTCTATGTGGAATCAGGTAAACATTAACTGAAGGCTGCTTTAAAGGGAAAAGAGTTAACACGTACTGATTTCCTTCTTACCTGCTGTCTGTCTCTTCAGATACTTCCTTTGACATCTGCTTTTGAAAACCAGTGTAAAGCTTGTCAGCTGTCAGGCAGCACTCCTCACCCCTAACCCACCAGGAGTTACACCCTCTGTCTGCACAATATTTTAAAGCTGCCTCTTGCATACTCTGAGACTGATTCATGAAATCCTTGATAGCTGAGCTTTGCGTTGAGCCTCTCTTTTTTATTAGATTCTTGGTATAAGATAAGAGTTTCATGGTTAAACTTGCCTGTTGGTTGTTTGGGGGTTTGTTAATGGTGCACTAATTCCTGAATGTTAGGTACATCTGGTATTCAGATGAAGTATGGCATGCATTCCAAAGGCAAGAGAGTTCCATAATTCCTGAAATGTAGACCAGCTTTTAAGAGCAGCTGAAAGAATGTGAAGAAGAGCATGGTACTTACTGCCTCTTAACCAGTTTTTCAGGATGCCACATTCTAAAACAACTCTTCGAAAATATTGCTCTGTATACGAAGCTTGGACTCCTTCAGAACTACTTTTGTTGTAAGCATAAATGTTTAAAGGAATTTGTTATTAATAATAGAACTAGACTCTCTGAGTGCTTACTACGTGCCAAGCAGCGTGTTAAGCACTAAATGTACGTTACTTTGCTTGTCCTTATAACTGCCTTAGAAGGTGGCCATGCTGGTCTCCTTTCCCCTCCCCACTGTACAGCCAAGGACTCTGAGGCTTGGGGTCCTAAGTCTCTCCAGGGTCGTGTGGAAACAAAGTAAGCATCAGAAGGTTTTCTTCCCAGGTCAGATGAATTTTAAACTTAGTTCTTGGCTGTTTTGTTCTATTGCTGCTTTTTTTTTTTTTTTTTGCTTCCCGGAATGGAAAGACCCACACACACTCACAATTACAGAAGTAATACAAGTGTAAATGGGGGTTTTGTTTGTTTTTAAGAAACGACAGAGAGTTACAGAGTAAAAGTTCCTTCTAGTGTTATTATCCAGAGAAGCATTATTAATGGGCTCCTCCAAGGCTTTCCCCATGTTTTGTGTGCATGCACCCATGCTTATTTTAATATTAAAGTGATGCTTTTGTTGATGGTTCTTTCCATTTAGATTTGTGTTAGCAGTGTAGTTCTGTGCCACTGTAGTGGCTGCATTATAACCAGCTCTTACAGTGTCAGAGTGGCTTATAACTCAAGAGTGCAGGGGTCCGCTCTTAGGACTTGGCTAAACAGTATTTAGCAGCTTGAGTGAAAATTGGTTGGGTTTTTCTCTTTGTTTGTTTAGGATTTTTTTGTTCTTAGTCTTCAGAAAAATCAGTAGTGGTAGTACATATCTTGAATCTCAAATGTAATTTTAACATCTCAGAAGCAATTAAAAATTCTTAATGTGAATCACTTTTTAGGAGCTGTTGGACAAATATCTCATTCCCAATGCTACACAGCCAGAAAGCAAGGTGTTCTACTTAAAAATGAAAGGAGACTATTTTAGGTATCTCTCTGAGGTTGCATCTGGAGACAATAAGCAAAGTAAGTAAAGTTTTTTTAAAAAATACAGTCAGTAGGAGGGCTAATATTTCATAATGAAATCCATTTTTACTATATATACTAAGATCACAATAATGAGAATTTCAGATGTCACAGATTTGTCATGCATGGGGTCATGGAGTTAGCAAATCTCTTTATATAATAGACAGATATGAAGGGTATTAGAAGTTTGGTATGTATGTATTTGATGACCTCTTACCTAAGAATTGATGGTTTCTTTTTATAGGAAAAACTGGAAAATATACTAGTTCACCTTGGCCATGACTTTGCTTTACCCAGTTTTAGTTGCTACAACTGTAGTCTGAAGTCTAAGTGGAAAATTCCAAAGATATATGAGTCATAAATTTTGCCCCAAGTTACCCTGTATGGGCTAGCCACCTATTACTTACCTAGTTGCCATATTGGTTACTTGATTGACTCTTCTAGCATGGTACTGCTTATGTTCAAGTCATGCACTGATTTCCAGAGTACAAGCTTACATTACAGTGGTTACAGTTATTGGTGGAGCTGTTGTGTTAATCTCTGCAGTTACCTTGAGCACGTCTGATAGGTTTCAGCACTCTCTAGTTTTGGGTGTCTACAGATGAGCAACACTACCGCGTGAGACTGCCACAGGGATGCCTTTCTTTCAGAATATGGCTTTCCATGATGTGATTTAGCTGCTTTATTGATTGCTGTGTGCCAAGTAATTGGGATTGCATTATCCTCTTTGTACTTTGAATTTGGGTGTGAATCTCACATTTTTCCAATAAAAGAAACCAGGGTTCATGTACCGACTTTTTGCTTGCTCTAGTCCACATACTGGGTGAGTTAAGTTGAGAATTTGAGCTTGTTTTTGCTGACCTTAAACCTCATTATTTTTTTCACTAGACTATATTTTCTACAATTAGTCTTATGAAAGGCTGTATCTGTATTTCTTGGCTGCTTTATAGACTTCATCATAATTGTCTGTTTTCTTCCAAAGTATTTAATATAGTGCTTAGCATAAACATTTAACAAATATTTAAGTTGAGTAGTGAAAACATTGACCTTTATTTTGATAGCTCATTTGTTTAGACTTGTGTACTAAAGTAACTTATAGTGGATCCCATGTGTGATGCAGAAGCTAACCCTTTTTATCTTCTTTCTAGCCACTGTGTCGAACTCCCAGCAGGCTTACCAAGAAGCATTTGAAATTAGTAAGAAAGAAATGCAGCCTACACACCCGATTCGACTTGGCCTGGCGCTGAATTTCTCCGTCTTTTACTATGAGATTCTAAACTCTCCTGAAAAGGCCTGCAGCCTCGCCAAAACGGTGAGGCTATTTCTAAGAACTTCCTTCTATTTTATGAACAGTCCTCACTGCCTTGGATTTTTAAACATTTTCTGGGGAGTCAGGTTTTAGGAAATACATACAGAACTGTTACTTGGTGCTTTTATGTGAATATATGTTAACTTTTGTTTTGCTTTGTCTGATTACTGTTGGGGTCTTTGGTAGAACCTTCAAGGTAAAGTCGTGGTTCTCAATAAGCTTTGGGCGTTGCCATCTTTGTGCCACGATAGGAAAGGCATAATCAAAGAAATGAGATCCCATTGTGTGTGTGTGTGTGTGTGCGTGTGCGTGCGTGCGTGTGTGTTTTGTTTCGTTTTGTTTTTTGAGACAGGGTTTCTCTGTAGCTTTGGAGCCTGTCCTGGAACTAGCTCTGTAGACCAGGCTGGCCTGAACTCACAGAGATCCACCTGCCTCTGCCTCCCGAGTACTGGAATTAAAGACGTGTGCCACTACTGCCCGACCTGAGATCCCATTTTGTTTGTGCTGTATTACTTCCAGTCATTTGGGGGGAGCTTTCTCTCCTATGCATGAAGCTTTAATTTGGAAAGGGTGCCTGCAGTGATTTCTACAACTTGAACCTCTGACATAAATCAAGCTTAGTGAGGTGAGCTTTGCTGTTCTCCTCTTTGACCTTTGTGTTCAGGCCTTTTTATTTTAAACAAAAATAGAAAGCACTTTGGCAATTAAAAACTTGAGTGAGCTTATAGACTAAATGTGCTAACAGTAACACTGTTTATCATTGCTGGTTGGTGCTTTATACGTGTTATACATTTGAAACAGCTGGCAGATGTGAGAGGAGATCAGGGCGATTCCTATCCTCTTACCTGTAGGAAAGGTAGCACTAACGCTGAGAATGTCCAGATCTTTCTAATAGCTCTTTGTTTTAGGCATTTGATGAAGCAATTGCTGAATTGGATACACTGAATGAAGAGTCTTACAAAGACAGCACCCTGATCATGCAGCTGCTCAGGGACAATCTCACTGTGAGTACTCTGGAGGCGGTTCACCTACTAATCCACTGTTACCCGGAATTTAAGTTAAGTACAGTTTACATTGTTAAGTTAACCTATATCTTACTGCTGACTTGATGCTTTTGCAGTCATCCTCTGTAGTAATGAGGAATATGAGTAGTTGAGTGAGGGACCTGGAAATAGGACTGTGGTTCTCAACCTGTTCTTCCAGAGGACCCAGGTTCCCAGCACTTACATAGCAGCTCACAACCATCTGTATTCCAATTCTAAGGGGCGCGGTGCCCTCTTTTGACCTCCTAGGGCAGTAGGCATATAAATGATGCACAGACATACATGCAGGCAAAACACCTATACATGTAAAATGAAATGGGGAAAATGTAGTAGTTGAGGTAAAATATGCTGGGCCACATCTTGAAGAAAATTTTAAATTATCTTTTATTATAGCTTTCTGTTTCCTTTTCTCTTGCAGCTATGGACGTCAGAAAACCAGGGAGATGAGGGAGATGCTGGAGAGGGCGAGAACTAATGTTGTCATGCTTTGTGATCTGTCTGGTGTCACTCTGTATCCTCCACATTATAGCCCTTTGTGCGATAAACAAAAACAAAAAAATCGAATGTTGACTTTCGATTTTTCACAGCCTAAGCCTAGCAAAAATGGTCCCTGGGATAAACAGCTGGTATTTGTACCTAAAACTCAAACTGGTCCCTTAAATGCCACGGCATTTCTGAAATCTTGACTTTGATCAACATTGACAAGGATTATTGTGTGTTTAATTTTTACAAACTGAACACTGTGATTATGGGGTTTTGTAACTTAGCAGAGCTCTTACTGGTAGGAAAAATAGACCTGAATTATGTATAACTTTTTAGAAAGTTTAATCTGATATCCAAATAGTTACTGAAAATACAATTCTGTTGTAAAGTTGTACAGAAAGTTGTAGAGATTCTGTTATGATGCCCGACTTAGGGTGAGATGCTCACCATCAGCATGCCGAGTTTGGTAATTCTGCCTCTGGTTGAGGGCTTACCGACACTTGATCAGTATGGGCTGTTGCCACTCAAAAGTTCATGACCACAAATATCTGCAATGTCTTCTCCTGAGGAAACTCAAAACCTGAAAGTGAAGTTCTTTGGCTGATAATTGGGCTGTGACACCACAAAAAAGGTCCCATGCGCATACATATATGAGACTAAACCCCTTTATACTATAGCAGTGTGTTCCTGATTAGCAACTTGTGAAAATAGAGTACTATTTCTGTTACCCCCTAGCTAAAGGAGAGAAAAAAGAGCGGTGTATCTTCTGAATGGCCATATGAGTTTGCTGGATAATTCCCTTAAGGTTAATGTTCTGTGGAGATGGTCTCTCGCCTGAGGAACACTCAGAGTCTTGGGGTTCTTCCTAGCTTGGAGGGCAGGAACTTTGAGATTTAACATTCTTTCCGTCCTGACTGCTGACTTTGATTCTTTTCCTCTTTAAATTTACAGCTTTCTGCTTCCTTGTGTGCTTTCTTTTGGAAGCCTTTGTTTGTCGTTACTGTCCGGACAGGGGCGAGGCACTGAGCACAGTGGTGAGCAAGCCTTGCTTTGGGGTGCTGGGAAAGAAGGCCTGCCCACACCGCCACCCTGTCCTCTCCAGTCCTCAGCACAGTTGTTCTTTATTCTATGACTCAAATCGAAAAAGTATTTTTAAGTATCTCCCTATTGCAACAGCCCTGATAATGCTTGTTAGTGCCTGTCACCAGATCCTCCCAGTGTACTCATCCAGCTCAGTTCTCAGACATGTCAAACAAGACCCTAGAGCACAGGGAAGTTGCATGGACACTACAATAGAGAGAACCAAGAACAGCCAGGCCCGTCACTATCACAGTATCACCCCCTACCTTGACATTCCATGTAGCTGTAGAGTCCATTTGTTTGTCCATCTGCTGAAATGAGAAAAGAATTCATGCACTGATTTAAAACCAATAAAAAATTTAAAAAAATAAAAAAAAATAAAAACCACCAAAAAAAAAAATCCCTTGTTTCTAGCTGAACAAAAATTTGCAGTTAATCTTGGCGCTTGACGACGCGGTAGTGGGTGTGGAACCAAGCCTGTCTGTGCATCTGGTAGCTCTTTGCTCTTTTTTTTTTTTTTTTTTTCCCCTTACCAGTATTCTGCCTAACGTTTGCTTCTGTGGTGGTTATATTTGCCTAGCAAGCACACCTGTGGTTGTGAAAATAGTATAGCAAAAAGAAAAAGAAAACCCCCAGTTACTGATGTGCTAGATTCGTGTGTCTTTTCAGCATTCTAGTTCACCTTACACGGAGTAATCAGGAAAATGTAAAAACCCAAAAGTGAAATAAAACATTTTATCAGTTAGTTGCCTGTGGATTGATGTGTCACCACTATCTGTCACTCTCAGGGCTATTCTGAGCACGTGTATTTTGGGCTTTTTTTAAAAAATACTTTTATTTAACCCCTTTAGAGCCTGCAGGAAGACTTGTTTCTGTTAGGTTGGATGTGATCCTTGCCATCTTAAACCAGAGCAGGTGTGATCAGTTACCTGTGCAAGGCCTGCACCAGAACGGGCACGTTGTTTGTCTTTGTTTCTTTTTTTGAGGGAACGGGCGTATTTCACAAGATTACGTAAGCACTTTGGCTGGCAACGAGCACAGATGGCAGCACTGCTGGGGGCATAGCTGCTTTTACGTGGTACAGGGGACTCGACAACGACGCAGCCGCCCTTGAACCCGCACAGGCTCCTTCCTTTCTTTAGTCTCTTCGTATCTTCCCTATCTATAGTAAATAGATCTGTCTATATCTCCCTAGGAAAAAGCCCTGCGATACTCTATGCAACAAAACCAAAGGCAAGTCTAGGAGGAGCAGATAATGGCCCTTAGCTATAGGTGATGAGGCATACAACTGAGCCAAGTGTCAGAGGAACCTCCAGGTGACAGTTTTTGTCTGTAACAGGGTCTGCCAGGTAAGGGATGTCCCCCCTCCCCAAGTAGCTGGTGGACAAGTATGTCCCTGAAAGGTCCCTGAAAGCTGTGGATCAGGAATGTAAGGCAGTTGTGTGGTCTGTGTTGTAGGTAACAAGACATGCAACTGAGGCCACACTGTCCGCCCAGGGTGGCTTTATAGCGGAGGAGTTAGAGTAGAAAGAATGGCTGTTACCTACTGTTAGCCTCTGTGAGTTAAATGGGAGAAAGGGAAGGAGAGGTAGAGGGATTGCTTGTCGTACAGCTAAGAAGTGCAAATTGAGTCTGTTTCTGGGATCCAAAAACTTGGGAAGCCATGGGAAGAGTTGGTAAATACAAAGGAAGGGAAGATCCATGACTCAACATGCTGGTGGCCTTAGAGATGGTTCAGTGGATGAAAATGATAATCAGAATACTCTGCCTCTGAACAGCTTGACTGGGAGGGACTGAGGTGGCTCCATGGGAAAAACAGACAATGTATCTGCTGCTGGACCTGGGGAACCTGTCATGGCGGAAGAAGAGGGAAGCTGTCCTCTGACCACACATGCACCCTGGCGTGTATGTACCCATATACACACTACAAACAATAACAACGACAAAAACTAAAATAAAAACTTTTTTAACCATTTGTCTTTCGAGACTGGGACATGGGGGAGGGTGATAGGGTGAAAACTCTTAATTGTAGGTGCCATGAAATGGAGATTGTCACTTGTCCCTCCTTGAGATAAAAAGTGTAGTCTGACACAACAGGGAATCAGACCATCAGCTTGTATAAACTATTAGGGACGTCTGGTTGTTTCTTGAGGTGTTTGTGAATATTAGACACTAGAAGGCAATAGAAAGGGCAGGCATTACTGAGAACTGGGTGTGAAGGAAATGCATGCTACATAATCCAACACCTAGATAAGACTGTTGACAGCAAAGTTAAAAGCTAATTTAGCAGTGACCTCAAGACTGGACTGGGCCTTTAGGTTTTCTGATAATAGTAAGCGACATGACCTTTGTAATGTAGGAGAGGCCAGCAGGTCTGTGAAGAAGAGCATGCATGCCAGGCGGTGGTGGCGCACGCCTTTAATCCCAGCAGTTGGGAGGCAGAGGCAGGCGGATCTCTGTGAGTTCGAGACCAGCCTGGTCTACAAGAGCTAGTTCCAGGACAGGCTCCAAAACCACAGAGAAACCCTGTCTCGAAAAAAAAAAAATAGCATGCACATAGGGTTAGTGAGTGCTAAAAACCTCGAGGACTTGGAGAAAGGAAACCCAAGGAAGGTGTTTGGTAGTTGCTTAAAACCAAATGGGGGCCTATTTGTATTGGTTGAGTTAGAGTGACAGGAAACCAAATTTGGTGTTTTTGAGCCTCTAGAACAGTAGTTCTCAACCTGGGGGCCACAACCCCCTGGGGGGAGTTGAACACCCCTTTCACAGGGAATCACCTAAGACACTGGAAAACATTTACATTACGATTCATATCAAGCAAAACTATAGTTAAGAAGTAGCGGTGAAAATTTCACGGTTGGAGGTCAGCCACAACTTGAACTCTATTAAGGGGCTGCAGTGTTAGGAAGTTTGAGAACCAGCTAAAAGGAAGGCTTCAGAGCCAAGCCTCAGCTCACTCCGAGGTGTGAATGATGGCAGGGAGGGTGGGGGGTGGTGGAAGATGATCAGAAATGGCCAAGATTAAAATGAGCATACAAAGGAACTAGAGGCCTCATGAGTTGCACATTTATCTGCCCCTTATTAGTGTGTAAAACACGGACTTTGGTACACACTGGAGCTAGACTTGGCAACCCTCAGAGGTGCCGAGAACTAAGCACTGAGAAGATTGAAAATGGCACAGGTAGGTGCTATTTGTCCTGCGGTTGGCTAATCATCTGCCCACGGGCGCTGTGTGTTCCTCCCTCCCCAGTTGGTAAGTGTACTGCCAGGGACACTGCAGACCACTTGGGAAAGTTTCTACTTGGTGTGAATTTTAAGGCAGACAATCTGGTTGGGTGAAATGAGAGCTGTAAAGTTTGACCTCTCTTCCATGGGCAATAAATAACCAAACAAATGGACTACCCAGGGTGTGTGTGACAAAGCTACAGAAACCACGAAGAATTTTTAAAGGATAGAGTATCCAACCAGCAGCAAGCAAACACTCTGCTGTCCAGTGTGGCCTGTAAAGAAGCCAGATGGAGGCTGGTCATGGTGCCATGCATCTTTAATCCAAGCACTTGGGAGTCAGAAAACCATCTTAGTCTCCATAGTGAGCTCCAGGACAGGCAGGACTACATAGAGACCTTATGCAGCAGCAGCTGTATGGGTCCATCGAGGTGGCTCATTGGTGGGGGCTTTTGTTTCCAGGCCTGAAAACCTGAGTTGGATCTACAAGGCCCACCCACATGGTGGAAGAAGACAGCCAACTCTTCAGATGTCCCCTGACCTGACGTACATGCCAGTGTGCACATGCATGTGTGTGCATAGACAGTGAATAGGTTAACAATAAATAATGATGTTACAAAAAAAGAGCCAAACAATTCATGGGTAATGGCTGAATTACAAAGAGCTAAATAGAGAAATGCCATTCCTTCCTAGCCACACTGCTGAACCCAGAGCTGGTCTCTTGAAAACAGTGCAAGTGGTGAGATTTCCCTATTCCCCTGGCTGCTGTATCCCCAACCAACTGTCCCTTAGCAGGAGCAGCCTTTGGGTACTCCATCAAGGTTTCCTCCAGAGCCCCACTGTCACAGGATTTTTAGCACGTTCAGGGACAAAATCTTGGATTAATGTACCTTCAAAATGTTCATGCTTGTGCTGGAGAGATGGCTCAGAGGTTAAGAGCACTGACTGCTTTTCCAGAGGTCCTGAGTTCAATTCCCAGCAACCATGGTGGCTCACAGCCATCTGTAATGAGATCTGGTGCCCTCTTCTGGCCAGCAAGCATATAGACAGAACACTGTATACATAATAAATTAATTTAAAAAATGTTCATGCTCCCTTAAAACTTTATAGTTCAAGCCGAGCATGCCCAGAGGCACTCCTATCTATCACTTTAATCTTAAAATGTGTTTCAGCATCTTAGAAACTGAGTGTGCTTAGGAGGGGGCCACATCGTCTTGAGTAGCTATAATCTTATGTAAAATTCACATGCTTCCTTCATCCAAGGACGGCATTGCTTTAGGATGCAAGTGTGTGGTCACATGATGGTACTCCAGGAAGATGGCTTCGTTATATAGATGATAAGGTGCTAGCCTCGAAGCGTCTTAAAGATGTAGAAACACCTTGAAGATGCGCAAACCAAACCTAAGGAAGAAAGTGGGATGTTAATCCACACAGTGTGAGGTCAGCTGAGATTTTTTTTTTTCTTTTTGAGACAGGGTTTCAAAACTTGCTTTTTTAACTCACTGAAATCCTGCCGCTGCCTCCCAAGTACTGGGATTAAAGATATGTGTCACCACCGCCCAGCCATCTGAGAAATTCTTAAGAATTTTATGGTTGGGTAAGACACATATGATCCCTGACAAGGTTATTGGCCAAATTCCGTAGTATTTTCTGGACATGATTGTTGTTCTCGATGAACTCAAAGCAGCTATGGTGTGCACAGGATCAAGCCAGTCAGCATTCTAGCACAAATGGGGAGAGGTGTGAGCCCCTTTACTGCTGCTGGGGAGCTATTGACAGCCATGCTGCTAGGAGAGGAGTCCGTTTTGCTTAGGGGTGTGGTCCCTGGTAAATTGACCATGCTCTAATAGATGGCTACAATCCCATACATATATTCATAGCACTATTGAACTCAGTGGGTTATGAAAGGGGGGGAGGCATGAAGTCAGGAGGGGAGTGAGGTTGGGTATAAGACATTGAATACATGTATGAAATCGGCAATGAGTAAGTGAAAACTAGAAGCTGGAAAGATAGCTCAGTGAATAAGAGTATATGCCCTCACAGAAGGCATGAGTTTGGTTCCCAGAATCCACGTTTAGTGGTTTCAGCTGCTCAGGACCAACAGCTCTGACCTTAATGGGTGTATGCACTCATATACAGATATCTACATACAAACACACACATAATTTTAAAAAATAATCTTAAAGCTAAAACAAAAATAGTTTTTTTAAAATATTTATTTATTTATTATGTATACAATATTCTGTGTGTATGTCTGCAGGCCGGAAGAGGGCACCAGACCTCATTATGGATGGTTGTGAGCCACCATGTGGTTGCCGGGAATTGAACTCAGGACCTTTGGAAGAGCAGGCAATGCTCTTAACCACTGAGCCATCTCTCCAGCCCCAAAAATAGTTTTAAAGAATTCTCTAATAGCCTGTGCCTCAGAATGTAAAACATAGCTTGGTGGTGGCACACATCTTTAATCCCAGCACTCAGGAGGCAGAGGGCAGAGGCAGGTGGATCTCTGTGAGTTCAGGCTAGCCTGGTCTACAGAGCAAGTTCCCAGACAGGCTTCAAAGCTACAGAGAAACACTGTCTCAAAAAAACAAAACCCAAACAAAAAAAAAAAAAAAAAAAAACTAAAACAGATATGGGTGTTTGGGAGCTCCTTTTTGCTGATGCATTTTTATCTCATTTTTGTTCATTAAGAAAGACTTATTTGTTTGGGCTGGAGAGATGGCCCAGCAGTTAAGAGTACTGGCTGCTCTTCCATAGGACCCGAGTTTGATTCCCAGCAACCCACATGCTACAGACAGCCCACAACTGTAACTCCAGTTCCCTGGGATCTGACATCTTCACGCCAATGCACATAAAATTAAATAAATTTTTTAAAAAGACTGTCTAGATGCTAGAGTTGAAACAAAAAGACTTGCTTTTATTTCAAGTGTATGACTGACTGTTTTGCCTGCATGCATGTATGTCCATCATGAGCATGCAGTGACCCTGGAGGCCAGGAAAAGGTATCAGTACCGCTGGAACTGCAGGTACAGATGTGGGTGCTGGGAACTGAACTTGGGCCCTTTGCAAGTGGCATTTCTGTGTCCTGCCTTCCTATGCTTAGAACTTGATTTTTAAAGAAAAAAAAAAGGAGGGTGATCCATGTGGAATTCTTTTAAAAAGACCTAGAGGCTTCTGAGGAAGTTCCAGAGGGCTGCAGATGGGGGCTAGGCAGAGCTGACCTGAGCAAGCTGTCCCAGTAGGATCCTGGCCCTAGTCATGGAAAGGAACAGACATCTAGAGTCCACCACTAAAGCAACTATCGCCAGCCATGGACAAAGCATTGCTACAGCTGGAATCTGCCGCTGGTTCCACTTCAGTAGCACTAAAAGCAACTTCTCCCGCTAAGGATAGAGTGGAGAGCCTCGTGGCCTAATCCGTGAGGATGACCCAGCGTCTGGCACTGCAAAGGCAGTCCACACATTGACGATACCACATGGTGTCTGCAAACCCTGCCACCCATGCCATCCAGGCTGTGCTGAGATCCTCTCCAGCCACTGACTCTCCCTCTCCTGATAACTCAACCAAGAGTCAAGCTGGAAAAGGTACAGAAAAGGATGCTCCCCACATCTGTAGATTCCCGGTACAAGCAAGATGCTGCCCCAGCTAAGATCACCAGCCAGTAATGGTGGCTACTGCAATGCAAAGCACACGGATGCCAAGTGACTAGAGAGGAGGGGAGGAGCCAGGGGCCTGAGTGCAGAGCAACGTGGATGAAACTCATCCTTCAGCTGTCTTCAGAGGCTTGACTCTAGGTGGCCCAATGGGTCAGGGGGAACAGGGGGGAGCTGGACAGCCACAGAAAAGAGCAGATTTGGAAATACATAATACAGTTAAGTTAAACATGTATAGTATATAAATAAATAATTGTATATGTTTATAAATATAATCAATATATAAAACATGCATATTTAACATGTGATACAAAAGCAGAGCCCGTTGTGGTTTCCTACGTAACAGCCCACAAGCCCCAGATTGTCACATGCAGCCTTCAGTCCCTTCAGATACAAACCCCTCAAGTGCCGAAGGAGAGACTGAACCCGGATGAGAGAGAAGGCTTTTCTGGAGGCAAGATAAAATTGTTTGTGTGTGCACGTGACTGTGTGTGCAGGTGCGAAGGTCGGAGCTATCTATAGCTCACCACCTGTTTTGAGATAGTTTTCTTATGCTGAGCCTGAATCTGCCTGTGTTGGCTAGATCCGCTGGCCAGCAAGCCCAGGGATCCAGCTGTCTCCATCGCCTCCGGGCTGGGGTCACAGGTGCCCATCGCCGTTATACTTATTAGCCTTTACATTGACTTTGGGGATCTGACCCTGGGTCCTTCTGATTGCATAGAAGCACTTTACCCACCGGGCCATCTCCCCAGTCTCAAACTATAAAACCTTGAAACAGTTTTTCCGTGAGAATCCTCTGGTTTGTACCTGGCAGTGGTGGCGCACGCCTTTCATCCAGCACTTAGGAGGCAGAGGCAGGGGGGGATCTCTGAGTTCGAGGCCAGCCTGGTCTACAGAGTGAGTTCCAGGACAACTAAAGCTGTCTTCGAAAACAAAAACGAAATTCTCTGGTTTGTACTGAAACCTCAAAAAGTCATCTCCTTTAATGGTTCCCAAGAGGGAGTGGTCCCCATTTTATAGAGAGAGAAAATGAAGGACCTGAGGTTCAAGTCTGCACTCTGCCTCTTCTAAACAATTCCACCCACGACTCCTCTTGACAACCCTGCCCCAAGCTTCGCTGACCTGTGGCCTTTCCCCTAAGGCAAGGTAGGCGATGATGGCCACCTGCGCCTTTCCCAGCCTGAGGACTCCCAGGTGGGTGGGGCTGGGCGCCGGGATTGGCTTGCAGGCCTGGTAAAGGCAAGGAGCTGACCGAGTCAGGACGACTGGCAGAGCCCCGCTGTGACCACCATCGCAATTGCCAGGCCCAGTGCCCTGCGAGCTGGGGCTGCTTGGTGACCCACTTCTGGGTGCCCTGCACACCATGGACCCCAGTGGCCAGGGCTGCGCACTCTCCTCACTCTATGTGGGTGATCTGCACCCCGATGTGACTGAAGCTATGCTCTATGAGATGTTCTCCCCCATCGGCACTATTCTGTCCATCCGTGTGTGCCGGGACGTGGCTACCCGACGCTCCTTGGGCTATGCCTACATCAACTTCCAGCAGCCTGCTGACGGTGAGTCCCAGAGAAGAATAAGACCTTGCTTTTAACATCCTTGGGCAAAATAATGCCCTTTTGATAACTGCCACCCTAAGCTGGAAAGCTGGCAAGTTTATTTTAAATGAACTTCTATTATCTAAGTACAGTGGTTTTCTATCTTTCAGGTCGAAATGGTCCTGTGACTAATTGTGGGTATTTAGTGTTATAGATCCTAGCCAGGGAAGATAGGGCAGCCTGCGTTTCCATCTTCTGTATCATAGTTAGGGAAACTGAGGTCCACAGACAGGAAGTTGGAAGGCAGGCATTCGGAGAATTGGCAGTTACTGCTGGGTGTACTGGTTGTTGCCGGGTGACTTCGGTGTTAAGTAGACCTGGATTAGGAACCCAGGATCTGTGTGACGTGGAGCAAGTGGCTCAACCATCCTGAACTCGGTTGCCAGAGTGAAAGGAGAAGCGGAGCTCTGCCTCCCTCCAGGAGTGGTTACCTAAGAGATGGAGAGCACCTGGGAGGACGCGGCCCAAAGCTTGCAGGTGGAGAGTGCGGAAGCCTGGGGGTTCCTGCCCTTCAGTGTAACCTGACACAGGGCCTACACCAGGTGCCTTACCTTTCAGATCCTGGCAAAGCTGCCTCCTCTCTGCTTTGTCGGCCCCTGTTGGGTGAGAGGATTGATTGGTAACTGTCAACTGACCCCGTCTGGGCTCCGCGAAGAATGGAGGACCAGGGTTAAGAACCATGGCAGGAACATGAATTTGAGGCTAGCCTGGGCTACATGTTGAGACACTGTCTCAAAATGAAGAAAGATTCCGTAGTTTCAGGCCTCCTGGGTGAGTTGGGAGGTTTCCAAAGTCCAGGATGCTCTATTCGTCGACTACACCCCACTTCTGCCTCCTCTTGCCCCTCTTCAAGGCTAGTGAGTGAAACAGGAGCTAGGCCTCCGGGCCTATCCATAGATGGGACATCTGAACTGTAGAGTTCTGTTCCCGGCTGGGTATGTTAGCACTGGACGCTTACAGACCTCTGTGCTTGCTCTGCTTCATCCCCTCGGCTGCTTCTGTGCCTCTGAAGCTAGCTGGGTCTCTGAAACAGGCAGTTGCAGCATTGTCTGCAAGAAACAGGCTGCCCAAGGAGAAGGATGCCGTTTGCCAAAGGCCTGTTCTCTGTGTAGTACAAAACCCGACTACCATTTGTTGCATGCTTTGCTTTCCAGCCTGCCTGACCGCCTGGCATTTGGTGGCATTGCCTCCGTTAGTGTGGGAAGGAAGGTACTTCACTCACAGGTGGAGTGAGGGACTGGGGACGGGGGCTTGCTTCCCCTTCCTTACATGCTCGCCCGTGCAATGCCCATTCAAGGCTAGAATAGCCTGGCTCTGCTTTTCCAAGCTTCTTCAGTCTCTGTGTCTGTAAGATGGGGATCCATGCTGCTTGTTGAGAGATGACCTTTCTGGAGTGTGCGAGGAATGCCATGTACAGTAATCCCTTCGGCTTTAATCCACCTGAGTCTCCAAGTGCATCTCTCAAGGGAGACCCAGATCATGGCTGTCCTTTCCTTGCTCCTACTCAGCACCATGGAGACTTGGGGTCACAAATGTCACCTAACTTGTTCCTTTCTCTCCTTGCCTCCTCCCCAGCGGAACGGGCACTGGACACAATGAACTTTGAGATGATCAAAGGCCAACCCATCCGTATCATGTGGTCCCACCGAGACCCAGGGCTTCGAAAGTCTGGTATGGGCAACATCTTTATCAAAAACTTGGAGAATTCCATTGATAACAAGGCTCTCTATGACACCTTCTCCACCTTCGGGAGCATCCTCTCTTCTAAGGTGGGTGTGCCCCTCTAGTTGAGTCAGTTGGCGCCAGATACCTCTGTGTTAGAGTGATACCAACCGGCACCCGGCAGGCTGTGGGTACAGCAAGCAATTGGCCGGCAGCTGCTCATGATTTTATCTTCTTATGACCACTAGAGGTCGCCCCCGTGCCTGGTAGCCAGCTCCTGAGATAATCACCCCATACAGTTTATTTAGTTTATGTGGGCTTGGCCAGCTGTCAGTTGAAGCATCTGGGATTTCCTCTGTGTGGTCTTCCGTGCTCCTGCAGACTAGCCCAGGTCTCAGACAGCTGGGAGGAAAGATTCACAGGCTACCTGTAGCTTCAACTCAGAATCGGGACCCCCTTTATTCCTAACTGCTCCCTAGAGACCAAAGCCAGTCCCAGGCCAATCCACATTCAAGTGAGCATTAGTTAACAACCACAAAACAGAATTAAGTGTATGGTTATAATAAAGGTATCAACTGGGAACATCGCGGCAGTCAGCAGCCACATCTTGCTTCAGGCTTCCCTTGCTGCTGGAGATGAAGCATGTCATGGCCAGCCCCCACCACGGCTTGTTTTTAAGATATTTCTTCTATTAGAACATAAAGTCCACCTGAGTGGCGGTATCATTTCTCGTCACGGCTGTGTCTCCGAGTCTGTCTTGTGTTCAGCTTCCTGCATGCATGAGCAGACCCAACTCTCCCCCATCATGACGTGCAGTAAGTACTAGACGGATTATGGCTTTTGCAGGGTTTGGTTTAGTTCTTTGACCTTATATATGAGGCTGCGCAGGACTTGACAGCAGGTCCATGTGTTCCAAGTAGAGGCCTAAAACCTGGGTGTTATGCCCCAGATGTTACTGAGGATGGCCAATGAGATCCCCAGAGGTCTTTAGGGGGGCAAAGGCAGAGGTACCATGATCTCTGGGTTTGAGCCTTTCCAGAAAACCACTATGAGCCAGCTATAGTCCCTGAGAAGCTGGGGGTGGGAGTCAGCATGGTTGAGTCTGAAAGACCTTGAACTAAAAGTGAAACAACCATGCTTAGGGGTGGAGAGGTAGAGGAGCGTGTGATGGGTCTGAGACTGAGGACTGTATTTATGTACATGTGTTTGTGTCTGCTTGTCTCTATGGACACTATGTGTAAGCAGTACCCCTGGAGGCCAGAAGAGGGCGTTGGAGCCTCTAGACCTGGGCCTCTGAAAGAGTAGCAAGTCCTCATAGCCACAGAACCATCTCCCTGACTCCATGAGCAATGCTTTGGATGCAGGATTTGTTGTGCAGGGCCCATCAGAGGAGCCTCAACCTGCCAAGCTGACAGACTTCTGTGCATGGCTGAAGCCATTGGCGGTTAAAGGACCTAGTCACAGTTGAGTTTTAGGAGGAGCAGCCCAGCAACTGGCATGGAGGTGAAAGGGTAGACTGTGGCACTGAGCTGAGCCAGGTGGTGGTTCTGTGAAATTGGGGTCATGGTGACCTTAGAAATGGGACCTAAGTCCTTAATTCAAGTTCATCAAGAGCTGGGAACCATCTGAACTCTAGGTTTGTTTTTGGTCTCCATTTCTGCCCTCTCAACTTGAACCAGATGCATTACAGAACAGGTATGGAATGTTCTGTTGCAACATGGAGGTGAGTTTGCTGTTAGAATAGTATAGGAATTGGTAAAATTCAAACATAAGACCTGGCATGGTGGTGCATGTCTTTAATCCCAGTACGCAAAAGGCAGACACAGATGGATCTCTGTGAGTTCAAGGCCAGCCTGGTCTGCAGAGAGAGTTCCAGGACACAGAGAAACCCTGCTTGAACCACCCCACCAAAAACAAAACAAAACAAAAACAAGCCCTCAAAAAAACAAAAAGCAATACAAAAGAGAATAAACTAAACACTTCCCAGCGCTGGTCACCAGGAGCAATCACTGTCAATGGTTTTTTTGAGGTGGGCACAGGGGCACACACTTGTAATCTAGCACTTGTAAAATTGAGGTAAGAAGGATTTCAGTCTGGACTAAAGAGCAAGATCCTGCCTCAAAAATCTCCCAAACAAAAGTCAACTAAAATAGGTGTGTGTGTGTGTGTGTGTGTATGCATGTGTGTGCATATGTGTTTCAAAACTTCCTACGTGTAGATCCCACTTTACTTCAAATAGACTTGATTTCTGCCTGCTCCTTTTTTTGGTGGTGTGAGGGTTTCGAGACAGGGTTTCTCTGTATGTAGCCCTAGCTGTCCTGGAACTCATTCTGTAGACCAAGCTGGCCTCGAACTCACAGAGAGCTGCATGTCTCTGCCTCCCGAGTGCTGGGATTAAAGTTGAGCACCACCTGGCTAGTTATCTCTTTCAAATAACTATCAGCCTCATAACCCACCACATTCTCTTCAGCCTGTCGCCAGCAGTAGACCAGGCAACTGTACACAGCTTCTACAGCTGGCCTCCTGGGATGTTCACAGTGTCCCCAGTTTGCTATCAGAATTAGGGGACAGCTGTGGGGTTGGATTCCCAAGTTCACTCCTCCTTATGCTATCACGTCAAGCAAGTCCCTCTAACCTCCCATTCTCCCATTCTAACCTGGGGCTGTTAGGAGATTAAATCTCCGACTCCCCCCAGGTGGAACCCAAGGTCTAGTAGTGACTGGCAGAGCCTGTCACTGAGCTTCATCTACATAACTGTCTTTTATGCTCACCAACAAACATTTGTATGCCGGTCATTACCCCCTTCCCTGAAGTCCCTGTTGAGTGGTCTCTCTGTCATTCCTCCCTGTGACCCAGGTAGTATATAACGAACATGGATCACGGGGCTTTGGCTTCGTACATTTTGAGACTCATGAGGCTGCCCAGAAGGCCATCAACACCATGAATGGGATGTTGCTGAATGACCGAAAAGTGTGAGTTCCCGGCCCTGTGGAGAGGGTGGAGGCTGAAGGACAGAGCTGTGCAATCAGGAGTGTTGCTTTTGTGATTGTCTAATGGATACAAGGTGCTGGGCAGAGCTCTTCCCTTGGGGTGTAACTCAGGAGAGTGGCTCAACCTCTCAGGGATGCTTTCCTTCTGTAAAGTGGAAGTCGGTAGGCATCAAAGGACTATTCTAAGCAAAGGATGAGAATTCTAGAGAGAATAGCTGATGGCCAAATCACTGACAGACTTGACGATTTCAATTTTTTTCTTTCTCTTTGTTTGACTGCGGATTTTTTCCTCTCTCTCTCTCTCTCTCTCTCTCTCTCTCTCTCTCTCTCTCTCTCTCTCTCTCTCTCTCTCTTTTTTTCTCTCTCTCTCTTTTGTGTGCACTTCCCTGGGATCTGGGGCAGGTGGGAAGGCAGGTATGTGTTTAGACAAGCAGCAGGCCTGTCCAAGCTTGGTATCATCCCTCTTCACAGATGGGAAAATAGTGCTGCAGGTCTGGAGAGAACCTGTCGTGGGCTGCTCCTTTCCCATATGGAATCAGCCCATCTGATGGCCCAGCCACCACATTCGGTGCTGGGGAGGGAAGGCAGCTTTTCTGTGTTTTCACAGGGGTCTCATACTCTACAGCTGGAGATGGTCTTGAACTTCCCATCCTCCTGCCTCCACCTTCTAAGTACTAAAATCACACATGTGAACTACTTTCTTTTCTTCTAAGACTTATTTATTATGTATACAGAGTTCTGCCTGCATGTATCCCTGCAGGGCACCAGATCTCATTATAGATGGTTGTGAGCCACCATGTAGGTACTGGGAATTGAACTCAGGACTTCTGGGAGAGCAGCCAGTGCTCTTAACTTCTGAGCCATCTCTCCAGCCTGACACGTGAACTCACTGGAGAGGTAACTTTGAGTTGCCAGAGGCACTGGGTTGTTTGATTTGGAGTTCCTCTGGGGAGGGTCCTATGCATTTGATCTGGAGTTTCCCTGGGGAGGGTCCTATGTACTGATCTTACTACTTTGTTCTGAGACTTCCTGGATTCACAGATATTAATGACAACCACTTCCCTGTATGGACCACTGATGTTCAACTCCTGGTGTCCGTTCCGACCTATTTATGACACATCTGCTCCATCTACCACCTGCCTTTCCTATGCCTAGCATTTGTTAATCAAGAATTCTTTTCAGCCAAGTGCAGTAGTGTGTGCCTATTGTCCCAGCGACTGGGGAGACTGAGGCAGAAGGATTACCTGAGTTCAGGAGTTTCAGGGAATCCTGGGCAACATAGCAATATCCTCATATTCTCTCTCTCTCTCTCTCTCTCTCTCTCTCTCTCTCTCTCTCTCTCTCTCTCTCTCTCCCCCTCCCTCCCTCCCTCCTTCCCCCCTCCCTTCCTCCCTCCCTCCCTCCTTCCCTCTCTCCTTCTTCCTCTCTGTCTCTGGGGAAAAAAAAGATTCTTAGAAGTGTTTATGTAAACTTGAACATTTCTAGATTTTTTCCTCTCCTTTTTGGCTATGCTTGGACTTGAACTAGGGGCTCACCCATGCTAGGCAAGCACTCTACCACCAAGCTACATCCCCAGCCCAGAAAGTCTAGATTTTAAAATGAATGTCACATTTTAATGGCGTCAGTCTATCTCCTGTCTGTCACCAGTGACCCTGGCACTGACCATGTCTGCCTAGCTCTCCTTTGCTTCCCTGGTACTCTCTCCCAGCTTGTTCAGTGAATAAACTCTGGGGAGTGGCGCGGAGGCTCAGAGAGGTTCAGCAACTTGCTTAGGATCGTGTGCAGCTAGGCCACTGCAGTGAGGATCCAGACTTGAGTCCAGTTCAGATCCTGCTCTTCTTTCCTGTGCTCTCTCAGCTTCCCAGTCGAGAGCATTTATTCTGTACGCATGTGCCACTCAAGTTCCTGGAACCTCAGACAAGGTGGAGTTCTGGAATATAGCTTCTTGCCTAATGAAAACAGCTGGGCTCTGGACACAGTCAGTCCATGGAGTATGACCCTGCCTGGGTTCCCAACAACAGACAGGAAACTGAAGGATAGTAATTGGTCCAAGTGACCCAGAGTTGCCAGGTGAGCCCAGACGAGGATGAAGGGGTGATGAACCTGGAAGCTTTTATTCTTTTGATGTGTCTACAGCTTCGTAGGCCACTTCAAGTCTCGACAGAAGCGGGAGGCAGAGCTGGGGGCTCGGGCCCTGGGGTTCACCAACATCTACGTGAAGAACCTGCATGTGGACATGGATGAACAGGGTCTCCAGGACCTCTTCTCCCAATTTGGTGGGTGTGTTCCCCAAAAGAGAAAGGGGAACACTATTATTCTTCCATGCCCGGGTCTGGTGGGAGGAGGGCTTCCCTGGGATTTCCTTCGGAACTTATAGGAAGGAAGGGAGCATGCTGGCCTTTTCCCAGCTCCCTGCTAAGCCAGTTTGGTCTTTCCTAGGAAAGATGCAGAGTGTCAAGGTGATGAGAGACAGCAATGGCCAATCTCGGGGCTTCGGCTTTGTCAACTTTGAGAAGCATGAGGAAGCTCAGAAGGTAGGTGCCTCCAGGGCCCTGCTCCAGTAAAGAGGCACAAACCCACGACTGGGAAGCCAGAAGATCATGAGTGGGCCTGGTACGTGGAGGGCAAGAAAGCACCCTTCCTGGCCCAGGATGCAAGGACCAAAGGCGCTAGCATTATCTTTTCTTGTTGGCTTCTAGGCCTAGAAGTTGAAAGAATTGAACATTCAGGCCGGGAAGAGAAAGTCTTCACTATGCATAAATATTTACTAATAACTGGCCTCTTAAGCAGCTTCTTCACCCTCAAATATTTCTCCCCACACTGGTTTAAAAAATTCTAAACACTGAGTCAGTATGCATCTGGGTCTGACTTCTGCTGCCTTCTGTGGATAAACGAATGGGAATCTGGTTCTCCAAGTGCATCACAAAAAGAACCTGGTTGAGCCAGGCGGTGGTGGCTCATGCCTTTAATCCCAGCACTCGGGAGGCAGAGGCAGGCGGATCTCTGTGAGTTCGAGGCCAGCCTGGTCTACAAGCACTAGTTCCGGGACAGGCACCAAAGCTACAGAGAAACCGTGTCTCGAAAACCAAAAAAAAAAAATTATTGTATAAAATAAATAAATAGTTTTATGACACATCTTTAAAAAGTGATTGTCCTGTAAGTGGCCTTTCCCTGGAATGAATTATTCCCAGAGAGGAAGGCCAGCCTTGCAGGTGTCCTTTTCTGGCCCCAGAGGCAGGACTGGGGACAGGGCCACATCCACACAGTTCACTGTGTGCCCACTCCTGCTCTCCAGGCCGTGGACCATATGAACGGGAAGGATGTGAGCGGGCAGCAACTGTTTGTGGGTCGGGCCCAGAAGCGGGCAGAGCGGCAGAGCGAGCTGAAGCGCAGGTTTGAGCAGATGAAGCAGGAGAGGCAGAACCGTTACCAGGTGAGGCCAGGCCTCATGGAGGCTGCAGCTCCTGTCTGAAGGGGGTTTGGGGGTGGGGCACTCTGAATTTGACTCCTTCCTCTAACCACCCTCCTTCTAGAAACATGGCTCAGGGCCAGAATCAGATGAGCTCTGGGGTAGGCATCACCACCTGGCCTGTAGACCAGGCTGGCCATGATCCTCCTGTCTCTCCCTCCCATGTGCTGGGATTGCGGTCAAGAGCCACCACGCCCTACAAGTTAGCTAGTTAAAGTTAATAGTCTGACTTTTTGGAGATGAACCTCTTTAAGTTTTTTAGTAAGAGTTTTAGATTTTATGGAGAATGTCCATAGTGCTCACGTACATGCACCTATATGTAATAGTTCTCAGTGAGAGACTGCTTTCTTCTCGCTGCAGAGACACTTGAGATTGTTTAGACCTTTCAGTTGTCACATTCCAGGGGCAGGGGATGCTGGCAAACCTCCTGTGGTGGGCAGCACAGTTCACACACAAAAAGCTGGCCCAAAAGGCTGTGCTGCAGTTTTGATATCGCTAGGATGGGGCTAAAAGTTTCCTTATCTTAGGGTTGATGCAAGAAAGGGCTTAGAGTCCTGTCTTGCAGCAAGTAAGATAGTATGTCATGCAGGCAGATGGTGGAGTGGCAGCTGTCCTGTACTCTGACTGAAACAGAATTGGCCGGTCAGGCGTTCTGCCTACAGTCATTCCATATGGCCTCCCAGAGAGCTGTGTGGCTGAGCTTGAGTCTCACCCAGCCTGCTCTAGGTCTCAGGCCGCCTTCTGTGGTCCCCGCGTGTGGAATGGGAGGCTGGGTTCTGTGCAGATGTGTGGGAGCAGTTGTGGGCCTTAGACGTTACGGGAGCTGCAGTAACTTGGGACAGGCAGGCTGAGTGGCTACATGAGGCTTAGCCCTGCACGTCCCTTGTGGCCCTGCCAACCACTGACCCCACCCCAGGCAGTCTGGGACAAGAGGGGAGGGGGCATTGAGCAGTATCCCTTCTTCCAGGGTGTGAACCTCTACGTGAAGAACCTGGACGACTCCATCAACGACGAGAGGTTGAAGGAAGTTTTCTCTGCCTATGGAGTGATCACCAGTGCTAAGGTGAGGACCGCAGCACTCCCTGCCCTGCCCTTCACGCTCTCACCCCTGCAGAACCCCCAGCTTCTCACCCTTGCACACCTCCAGCCTCTTGCATGGCTTCCAGGGACTTTGGGTTGAGTTCCTCTTTCTGGTTCTGGCCCACACCTTTGGAGGTCTATCAGCAACCTTGTCTGGGAAGACATTAAACGTATACTCTAGCTGTAGAGCTGGGCTCGATGCACTCAATATAACCTTGTTTTACTCAACATCCATAGATACCATATATGTCAGATTCCAGAAACTTACCCTATTTCTGGGCCTCAGTTTACCCATCTGGAAAACGAGCTGTCACTCGTCCCTCTTCACTCATTCTTCCTCATTTGTTGAGTGCTAGCTGTGTGCCCAGTCTTGCGAAGTCCCTAAGAGGTGACAAATGGCTGTTCTGCCTAGCAGTTCCATGACTGTGAAGGAGGCTGAGTCTATGTCTCATTCACAAGATGAAGGTGAAGCGTGGCCTGTGTGGTTCACAGCCCTGGCTTCTCATCCGGGTCAGACAAGAAGCACGGAGAATTCCAGGACATGACCTGAACATTTGATTTTCTTTTTTAACTTAAAACTTTATTATGTTTTATTATATATGTGCAGGTTATCCTCTGGTCTCTGTAGACACTTGCATGTTAACCTGCACACATATGAACATGTGTTTCCGCACATGCGCACATACATATGCATAGACGCAGATGACGGGAGGCAGTGCTGGAGATAGAGATGCAGGGCTCGGGGAGAAAGGAGGGGGCTTCCTGGAGGAAGTAGAGATAGTCTTTGGCTTGACTATGAGGAGACAGGGAGCAGGGGTAGGAGGGGGATTTGTCTAATTTTTTAGATTTATTTATTTATTATGTATATAGTGTTCTGCCTGTATGTCAGAAGAGGCCACCAAACCTCATTATAGATGGTTGTGAGCCATCATGTGGTTGCTGGGAATTGAACTCAGGACCTCAGGAAGAACAGCCAGTGCTCTTAACTACTGAGCCACCTCTGCAGCCCCAGCAGATAGATTTTCAAAGGGAAGAATAAAGTTAATAAAGTCTGAGTGAAATTTACTGTGAACTTGCCAGTAGCTTATTTACAGCAGGCAATGTACTCACCTTCGTTCATTTAATTTTTATTGCATTTTATATAAAATAGAAAATATAGAGCCGGGCAGTGGTGACGCACACCTTTAATCCCAGCACTAGGGAGGCAGAGGCAGGTGGATCTCTGTGAGTTCAAGGCCAGCCTGGTCTACAAGAGCTAGTTCCAGGATAGGCTCCAAAGCTACAGAGAAATCCTGTCTCAAAAAACATAAAACAAAACACACACACACACACACACACACACCTATCTGCTAACAGAAATTCTTAACAATATTTTTGCATCAAGACTTGTGGTCCCTGAGTTGAAGAGAGGATAAGAGCACTTTCTGTGCAAACATGAAGACCTGAGTTCAAATCCCCATAGCCTGTGTAAAAACCTAACTCTGCTAAATATGTGCTTGTAACCCCAGTACTATGTTGGGTGGAGACAGGAGGATGGCAGGGCCTGGATGGCTTCCAGCCTACCTTCAGGTACAGTGAGAGATTCTGTCTCAAAGGAATAAGATAGAGAGTGATAGAGCAGGATGTCCAACATCCTTTTTCAGCCTCCGTGTACACATGACACACACCTGCATGCACACATGTGCACACCCCCCGCACGCACACACACATGCAATGTACACACCACATGCAACACATACCGCATGCACACACATGCATACATGCAATGCACACACCCACATGCACACACATGCAATGACATCTGGTCCTGATGAGTTTTTGGTCCTCTTCTAAGAGTATTTTGCTTAGAACAAAATTAATAAGATTGTCAGAGCCGAGCAGTGGTGGCGCACGCCTTTAATCCCAGCTGTGCCTCCCTAATCAGGAGTCCGGGTGTGAGCCACAAAGTCTCGTGAAGTGCGGGGCATACAGTAGGCCTCAGCAAATGAGGAGTGTGTGGTTCGTCCCTCTATCGCAGGCTGTCACAGGATGTGCTCAGTGCTGGGTGTGGTCCCAGGGGAGAAGCTTGTATCCCAGGAGTCATGCTTCCCTGCGCCCAGCAACCCTTGTCTTGTCTTGCTTTTAGGTGATGACAGAAAGTAGCCACAGCAAGGGGTTTGGCTTTGTCTGCTTTTCCTCTCCAGAAGAGGCAACAAAGGCTGTGACCGAGATGAATGGGCGCATCGTGGGCACTAAGCCTCTGTATGTGGCCCTGGCACAGCGCAAGGAAGAGCGGAAGGCCATCTTGACCAACCAGTATAGGCGGCAGCTGTCGCGCCCTGTCTTGAGCTCCTTCCAGCAAACTACCAACTACTTAGTGCCTGCTGTGTCCCAGGTGACAGTGTGCCTACAGCTCCCAGAGGGGCATGGAACTTCACAAATATAGGTTCTGTTGAAAACACCTTGGGAAAGCTGCTCCAACCCCTTGAAGTCTCACTAGCCCCATCTTTAAAGGGGCAAAGCATGCTATCTTGTCTTCCAGTCTGTGTGAGGTTCCTGTGTGTTGTATGGAAGGGACTGTGTGGTTAAATGAGTTTGGGAGGTCTTACACTAAGTACTGAAGCCTAAAGTAGGGTGGTGGTGGCACACACCTTTAACCCCAGCCTTCAGGAGGCAGAGGTAGGTGGATCTCTGTGAGTTCAAAGCCAGCCTGGTCTACAGAGCAAGTTCCAGGACAGCCAACATTTTACAGAGATACCTCTGTCTCAAAAAAAAGTAACCTTAATTGCTTTATTGTATACATTATCTTCTCCAGTTATGTCAGAATCCATTGGCTCTCCTAAACAGCCATAGTGCTTGTAGCGTTTTCCCAACTCAGACAGATGCCGTCTGCACCTTGGCATGACCTGGCTGTTCTGTTCTGAGGAGGATGGCTAGGGGAATGACACCCTAGAACTTAGAACAGTAGAAAGATATGCATGACTGAAGACCACTGGCTCGGTAACATCCGTCAGCAATTGGTTGTGCTTTCAAGACCTGGAGTAAGTGACATACTTTATCTAGGTCACTGAGCTAGGGTAAGGAACAATGGTTGAAAGAAATCTGCGGTCTTACCCTGAGATGGGAGAATGGAGCACTCACGTTAGCTTTGTAGGCCTGAGTTATCTCCTGCAGGGGATAGTGCAGATCTGGCCGTGGTGTCCCCGAGAAGATGCAAAGCGCCTCTCACCTTGGGTCCTCTTCTCCCACAGTCTACAGCACAGGCCATGTACTATGGTTCTGGCTCCATGGCTCCCATCCAGCCTGACCCCAGGTGGACAGCCCAGTCCCACGGACATTCATGTAAGTGACCCAGCCTTTCTATGTTCAGCAAGGCTTGTGGGTGTGAGCATCAAAAGAAGAGGCAGTATAGCAGGGTGGCGGCAGCACAGGCCTTTAATTCCAGCGCTTGGCAGTGCACTCAGAAGTGCAGAGGCAGAAGGATCTCAGTGAGTTCAAGGCCAACTTGATCTACCAAGTGAGTTCCAGGACAGCCAGGGCCACACAGAGAAACCCTGTCTCAAACCCCTCCAGCCCCCCAAAATGGAGGCAGTCTATAACTCTGGGGCCAAGCCTCACTTTGCATTTCTCAGAGTTGGTTCCTTCCCTCCTCTGAGCCTCAGTTACCCCTTTCCAACTTGGGACCAAATGAAATGTTTATGTAGCAGCAAACACTGTGGCAACCCTGACAAGGACACAGTGTGGCTATTGTCAGTTATCTCCAAAAACTACTCTGATTTGGGGCTGAAAATTCTTGCGGTGCCAAGGAAAAAAAATGAAAGAAACTCCTTTGGCTCAACTGTTGCTGAGTGGCCTTCTAAGTTCCAAGCTTACACTCAGGTCTCTTGGGACTAAAGTGTAGAATCAGAACTTCAGGGCCTGGAGAGATGTGAGCGGGTTTTGTCATTTGCAGGTTTCTATACAATCTCCCTAGAGTTCTTGGTCTAGGTAAATCGACTCTCTATCTCTGCTGTGAATCTCTAGTTCCTCCCCAGCCCTGGGAACTTCAGGCCACAGTGTGCTGCTTTGACCGTAACCCAAACCCTCTGTTTTTCTCTGTGCTGCCTGCCCTCCAGCTGCCTCAGTGGTCCAGTCTCTAAGCACGATGCAGCACTCCTATCTTCGCCTGGACAGTGCCTGCCAGGCTTCCAGCCATATACCTCACTTGCAGAGCGTAGGTGAGTGCAGTGAGCAAGGCCGGGATCTGGGATGGAAGGGGGTCAGTGGGGGAGCAGAATCTTATCCCTGGGGCTGGCAGTGGAGGGGACTTTAGATCAGGCTCTGTGAGGACTCTGCTTTCTTGGTGAGCCAGGCCAGCTTTGGAGGCTGTCTGTAACAGAAATGACCTTGGGAGTCACTTTGTGCCCCTTCTGATTGCTATCTCTCCAGACTTAATCTTGAAATAGGGATACAAATAGTAGGCCCATTGTTCTGAGGGTTGGTGAGTTCCCAGATGGGAGGATTCGAGTCTTAGTAAGTATCGACACTGCTGTGGCTCGAAGACAAGAGTATCTGTTGGCTAGTATCCTCACATCTCTGTGCTGGCCCTCCTTTCAGCCCTGGGGCTTCTTCGGGGATTCCGCCTGAATGAGCCAAATGAAATCCCTGGTCTTCTGTTGTTGTCAGGCTTCAGCATACATGCTCCTTGTTATATTTTTCAACTGTAGTAAAATATGCACAATATAAAATTTACTGCTTTATTTTTTTAAAAAAAATTTATTTTTATTTTCTGTGCATGAGTGTTTGCCTCCATGGATGTATGTGCACCATATGCATGCAGTACCCACAGAGGCCAAAAGAGGGTGCTGGATACCCTGGAACTAGAGTTACAGTCAGTTGTATGTTGCTATGTGGGTGCTTGGAAGTGAATTCCAGTACTCCGCAAGAACAGTGACAGTTTTAGTACTTTCTTTAAATGTTCGTGTTTTATCTGTATGCGTATCTGTGCGAGGATGTCAGACCCCTTGAACTGGAGTTACAGACAGGTGTGAGCTGCCATGTGGGTGCTGGAAACTGAACCCCGGTCCTCTGGAAGAGCAGGCAGTGCTCTTATCCACTGAGCCACTTCTCTAGCCCCGAGCATTGCTATTTTTAAGCCCATAGTTTAGTGGCATCCAGTGTGTTCCCACTGTGGAGTGTGAACTGCAGTATTTTACGCAATTGTCTTTAGAGCCTTCTGGCTTATAACTGGACTCCCCATTAGCTGGAGTTCTTCATTTTATCCTTTCTGGCCCCTGAAAAACCACCATTCAATTTTTGGCTCTTTGAATTTTCAGTGGCTCTTTGCCAAAAGGCTGAGAAGCAATGGTCTCTATGAATTTGAGTATGGTTACTTCATGCAAATGGAATCGGACTGTCAGTCCTTTGTGACTGGCTTTCACTTAGCACAGCGTCCTCAAGATTCAGGGATGTTCCAGCATGTAGCAGTTCCCTGCATATGGAGATTTTGGCTATGCATTCATTCACCTGTTGATGAGCACACAGATTGAGCTCTCGTCCATGTGAGCTCACTTCCACCTGTGAGCTCTCATCCATGAATACTGCTACTATAAACACGGATTTACAACTATCTCCTCGAGACCCTGCTTTCAGTTCTTTTGAGTACATATCTAGAGCTGAGATTGCTGGATGTGTTGTACATTGTATTTCTATCATTGCTGTCTACCCGACATTCTGGTCTATGGTACACAAATTTTTTAATGCTCCACTGAAATTTGCTATCTACTTTTTTCTAAGTGGCTACTTGAAACTTTCTTTCTTTTTTTTTTTTTTTTTTTTTACAGTCAACATTGGTACCCAGACTACAGGCCCAGGTGGGGAGGGATGCTCTATTCCAGGCCAGTCTCTCCTGACACACAGAGGACCTGCGTCTGCACACAGTGCCCACGGGGTAAGGCTGCCTACTCATTGTGCTCCCCTGATTCATAACTTTGGCTAACGTGTTTTCTCTCTGGCATTTGCTTTTCTTGGCTTATAAAATTTCATTTACTATTATGTGTAATCAGCCAAAGAGCATTCCTACTAACAGGGGAGAAAGAACCATAGTCACATTTTATTGGTTGCAAACTTTTTGTCTAGGTTATTGCCAAAATGAATGTGAATTTCCTGTATCAGGAGAAGGAATTCTAAGAACACACTGAGTACTGAAGGAATGAGATTAAGCTTCAAAATAGGACTAAAAATGTTTATTATAATTAAACAAAAGGCCACGCTTCTCTTTATTCCCCTCCAAAGGTTTCAAATTCAACATTATTGAAGCATGTCTAGAATTTCAATATGTCTTGTTCTAATGATTTCTTGAAAAATGAACAACAGTATCTAAACAGCAATACCTACTTTTAAATTTAGCAAGATGTAAGAGGGCTGAAGGAGGATTAAGAGTTCTAGGCCAGCCCAGGTTACCTAGTGAGTTCTAGGCCATCCTGAACTATATAGGTCTGTCTCACACATGCACCACTGAGATATACGCTTACTTCTGATGTTCGTAAAGCTTGTCAAGAAGAGTGCTTTATTGGGCTCAGTGGTTAGTGAAGTGTGGCTGTCGTGTGACTGTTTTTTTTTTTTTAAAGATTTTTTTAAAATATTTATTTATTTATTATGTATATAATATTCTGTCTGTGTGCATGTCTGCAGCCAGAAGAGGGCACCAGACCTCTTTACAGATGGTTGTGAGCCACCATGTGGTTGCCGGGAATTGAACTCAGGACCTTTGGAAGAGCAGGCAATGCTCTTAACCACTGAGCCATCTCTCCAGCCCCCTCGTGTGACTGTTTTTGAAGGGCCTTCATTGGGTCACAGCATCTCTGAGCGTAACTTTGTCTTCTAGTCCACGCCCCTGTTAGGGATTCTCTGTCCCACCTGATGGTGCAGACGTTGCTTCCCTCTTCCAGAACCTTTCCTGGAGGTTTATGTTCACCTGATGGGGTAAGTGCATGAGGCCTTTCCCATCCATATGGTTAAGGAATGTGTTCCTGGCACCATGTGCAGGTCCAGGAGTCGGCTGTATATGTCCCTGGCCATCAGCCTCTGACTGTGTCCATGCTGGCTGCCGCACCCCTGCATGAACAGAAACAGATGATTGGTGAGTGGCTGGCTCCCCCATCCTGGGGCAGGTAGGAGGGCTGAGAGCTGCCTAGCATGCCGGGAACAGCTTGAGTGAGGACAGACTTGGGAACGAGGTAGTTTCATCTCAGCTGCCTTGCTAAGCCTGTGCCCTCTTGCCTTAGAAAACTAGTGGCTGATGCTCCCAGAGCTTTCTCCAGCTCACACGGACTCTAGGTGGGAGATTCCTGCATGTGGAACAGGGCCAAGAAGCAGAGTAGGAGAATGCCCTTGGGTTTCTACTGGGAAACAGTCCAGGGTGGTCATTTCATGTCTTCACACCTCTTCCAGGGGGTTCCCTGGTCAGATTTCACCTGTCTCCTGGTGCCCACTGCAGGAGGTGGGAAATAACCATGCGGTGGGTAAACACGGGTGGTTCCCTCTAAACTCGGAGCTCCAAATGCCATTCCTCTCTAGCCCTGGAGTTTCTGACAGGCTCCAACGAAAGATGGCACTCATGGGGACTGGGGAGATGGTTCAGTAGGTAAGAGTGCTTCCTGTTTAGGCTTGAGGACCCGAGTTTGAATCTCTAGGTCCCATAGAGAAGCTGGTCATGGCTGTGTGCTCCTGTAACTCCAGAGTTGTGGGATGAAGACAGGAAGATGGCAGGAACTTTTTGGCCAACGCGCCTAGCAGAACAGGCAGCTTCAGGGCCAGTGAGGGGCACTGTCTCCGGGGAATAAAGTACAGAGGGATAGAACAGGATACCTGATATCTTCCTCCAGCCTCAGACACACAGACCTGCACACACACATACCACATGCACGCACACACCACGCAGGCATGCACATGTACATGAATGTGACGTTACTAATGTTGGAATGAATGAGCAACCTGTATCCTGGTCGGCACACTCTCCGTGATCACGTGGACCTCGAGTCCCTTGGCTGAAGGCCCTCATTGCCACTGCCCCATTGTTTCCTTAGGTTACCCACTAGGTTTTGTCATTTTATGTCCCTCAACACAGAAGAAAATTACATACGTCTAATGTCTGTAAACAGTGCCACTCTTTATGGGAAGACCTTTCTACACCCGCGTAAGCACCCGCACTCTGGAGTGTCCCCCCATTTGTTGTCAAGATGGGCAGACACCGAAACTAGGTTGTACTGCTAGAAATACCTGATATGGTGTGTGTTTACCTCCCACACCCCGAAGTCTCAAGTTGAGCATTACATCCTGTCTGGAATCCCAGTGTGTCCAGTGAGAACCGCTTCTCCCAAATGGAGTCTTGAAACCTAACTGACTTTGCTGTAGATCTCTTCACATATAATATTCCCCTCGGCCCTTCAGATATTCCTCTGAGGCGGGTTTGCGATGCCCACTTCATAGAGGTGAAAAGAGAAGTTTCCAGTAAGGTTAAATGACACAGCTTGGGGTGACAGGTTCTAGGGCAAGATCCCAGACACCCTCATTGCTTCACTCCATGGCTGCCACCACTCCCGGGTGCTGGGCTTTGAGGCGGGCATGTGCGTAAGCTCTCAGGTTGTTCCACACAGGGGAACGCCTCTACTCCCTCATCCACGATACCTGCGCCCCACTGACTGGCAAGATCACAGGCATGCTGCTGGAGATGGACAACCTGGAGCTTCTGTTTTTGCTGGAGTCCCCAGAGTCCCTCCATGCCAAGGCAGGTGGAGGCTGGGTGGCAGCGCAGCAAAGAGGAAGGGCTGTTCTCGATAGCTTACGGCAGGCCGTCGACACCAATCTGCTGGATTTCAGATGAGCTCTGTGTAGCTCTCTAGCGAAGCTTCAATACAAGTAGCCGTATTCTGACTGTATAGAGTCATGTCCAGCAGTGGTACCTCTATCTGAGAAGGTGGCAGTGGGGCTGGGATCCTAGGCATGGCAGAGTACGAGGGCTCCATGAATCCTTTACCATGCTGAGGCAAAGGGAAGTCATGGCTCTTCTGGAGCCTTATTGGGCAACTGCTCTAAGCCCCTCTTTCTTGTGTCCCATAGATAGAAGAGGCGCTGGCAGTGCTGTGGGCTCATCAGGAACTGGAGTCAGCAGAAAGCAACAGGAACTGAGCAGAGTGGGTAGCTGGGGGTGGGAGGACCCACGGCAGAGCAGCTGAGTCGCTGTCAGGAGACCCTGGAGAACACCCCACTGAGGCTGACATTCAAATACTCGCTGTGATGTGTTGGTGGCTTCGGAGTTGGGTGAAGCTGACCGAGTCACAGGAGACATGCACAGTAACTGGAGTGTTCTCATGCCAGGTGTCCCCCAGGCCTCAAGGTTTACTGGCTGGCTCCATTCCCTCGTCTGAAGGCCTGGCCTGCTGTGAGTTAGTCTACCTTCCTAAGACTGGGTGTCTTATATACTTTGGGAACATTTTTTTTCCTTTCCCCACTGAGATTGGAACCTGCACTCCCTTGACTTCCGAGCACAGCATTTCTGCTCGTGGTTCTAAGGTCCTGTGAATGCTAACTTATTTCCTGAGTGGTCTCTCTGTTCTCGAGCTTTAGATGTGGAATGAAGGCTGGACAGTGTCCACTGCTAATTTTTTTCTTTTGTATATTAAAAAATGCTGCAAAATCTGCCTTGCCTCCCAGGAGGCTTTCTTGTGTCTGAGGGAGGGTAGGGCAGTAATCTTAAGCGCTGAGCCACCTCTCCAGTTCCCTACAACTCTACAACCCCATTTTCAATTGTACTTAGTTGAGGAAGCTACTGGACCACAGATCTTATGCCCTATCCACCCTTAGTTCTTAAGACTCTCAGTAACAAGTCCAATTCACTAAAGCTTCGAGCTCCCTGTCCCTCTGGTTTTGTCTTCAAGTGTTCTCAGGAAAGTCTCCCACCATCATTCTATTCTAAAACCAAGGTCTCCCCACTTGCTGTCATTTCCCTTCCCTCATCTTCCATATGCAATCCATCTCTGCTCCTCTTCAATTCTTTCTACCTGTAACCAGGTAATGTAGCTCTCCACAAAAATTTGGTGACCTGAGTTTGACACCTGGAACTCATGAAAGGTAGGAAACTTCACAAAGCGGCTCTCTGATGTCCACAGGTATAGACTGTGCACACACATGCTATCACACCCACTATGTGCACATTTCAGGCATTCACCTGTTGACGGCTGTTTATGCTGATTCATTACATCTTGGCTTTTGTGAATGCTGCCACAATAAACATGGATGTACAGTTGTCTTTAAGGAATGGTAACTGCTAGGTGTTTTTTTTTTTTTTCAAGGTAGTTTTTTAACTTTTTTCAGATTTTTATTATGTATACAGTGTTCGATCTGCATGTATGCCTACTCGCCAGAAGAGGGCACCAGATCTCATTACAGATGGTTGTGAGCCACCATGTGGTTGTTAGGAATTGAACTCAGGACCTCAGGAAGAGCAATCAGTCCTCTTAACCTCTGAGCCATCTCTCCAGCCCTCGAGACAGGTTCTACACATATCCCCAGAACTCTCTGAGGGACCTCTATACTAATTTCCACAGTGGGTAGCTTCCCCCTTTACTTTTTTATGGTGCAGGGTCTTGAACCCTGGGCCTTGTGCATGTTAGGCAAATGCTCTATCATTGAGCTATATCTCCAGCGCTTAGCTTTTTCTTCTGATCTCAGTTCGTGCTGTACTTACCAGTGGATCTTTACCTCGTCATTGGAGGCAGGCAAGACAATAGTTGAGCGCTGGACAGCTCCACGATGACTAAGTCAGGTGCAGCTTTATACTCAGGCAGCTATCTGATCACTGCCCTGAGAGCAGGGACCGATCTTGTTACCCTGTTTCCCTTGAACTATACACAATGTCTGGGCTGTTCCAAAAATTTGCTTTGTAAACAGATGAATGTCCAAAAACCAGTGGCTGTTTTTTTCATAGACCATTCTATATTATTAAGGAAATAAGTGAAAATATATTTAAATTAACATGTCTTTTACAGGGTTGAAATTCAGCAATAGGAAAGGTACATGTAAGATGTAGCTTGTTTTTATTTTCTATTTTGTGCTACAGTCAACAAAGCACAATTTTTATCACTACTGAGTTTCTAGTGCAAGGCTGAGAAGACAAACGTGCAAAAGCCGATTGTACAGAAGAAAATCTTTTAATGCAACAGCAACACACAGTTCAATAAAATCAGTTCAATTAACTTCAACATATTAACAACAACAACAAAGAAGCCTGAGGGGCTGCTGTTGGGGGAAAGGTCAGTTCCTGCTCAGGCTGGAGGGACATGAATCTCAAGGAGGCCTCTCTCTCCCCATCCCAGGAGGAATTTGGGCTCTTTGAACCGTAGGTAGCTCCATACAGAAGGCAACAGCACAGAGCCTCCAAGGGTCAGGCTCTGCCTTCCCACAAAGGGCCTGACTAAAGGCACTGGGGCTCAACACAGGACACTGTGCCAAGGACAGGGTGCAGACAGCAGCTGTACCCTTGGGGAAATGGCAGCCTTGGAGAACCAGCTCAACAGGCCGCTTCGGGTGTAGGTAAGCCAGCACTTTAGCCTGTCAACACTACCCTCCCAGTTCAGATTAACTGAAGAGGTGTGCTGTCTTGGGACACCACAGGGCAACAATCGGTCTGCGGCACATCTGGGTCATGACAATCGCCAAGTACTTTGTTGACAAGGACCAGGCAGAAGCAAGGGGATGAGCCCAGGGCTGTAGCTTCACACTTTAGCTCCAATGGGGACCTTTCTGAAAAAAATGTCCTGTGCTTGTCTGTAAATGGACTTAATTTGAACAAGCGAAGCTTCTCAGGTGGAAGGCTGCTACCTCTCCAAGGGGCAAAGTGGGGTTGCTTTTGCACTCCCTTAGGGGCATGCTGGGTTTTGGGGACAGATGCAGGGGAAGCCCCTAGCTTCTCTGGGAAGGTCAGGTAGAGGGTTCCTGTTGCCCTCTTGGGGTTTTAGTTCATGTTCTGGTTGACTTCCTGCCGTAACTTCTGTGCAGGGCCATTCCTGGGTTCAATTTGTAGGAGGCTGCTAATATCTGCAAGGCTGGATTTATAGTCCTAGGAGAGAGAAAAGAGAAGTTGGGAAGGGACCGAGGAGGTGAGAACAGCTGGAGAAGCAGGAGAATGTTTCCAACCCTAGATTGGAGTCAAGGCAGGGCCCGGGAGACAGAACACAGCAAGTGCCAGCACCAGCATACATCTCTGCAGTTATGGCTGGGCCTCTGGGCAGGGATCCTTTACCTTCAGGGCCTTGTAGGCTTGAGCCCGTCTGTAAAAGGCCTTCACATTCTTCCCGTCCAGCTTGAGGGCTTCTGTGCAGTCCTTTACTGCCTCCTTGTACTGTTTCAGGACCAGATGGCAGAGCGCTCTGATGTGGAAAGACCATTGCAGAAGCTCAGTCACTTGTGGATCCCCACATGCAAGATGGAGGCAGCTGGGGACGACCTGATTCACTAGGCACCCATTCTGAGCTGTTGCTTTCCACCTCAATCCTCTCAAGTCTTAGCCTTATGCAAGATGGAGGCTTATGTGTGCATGTGACTGCCACATGCGTGCTGGTGCCTAGGGAGGACAGAGGTGTTGGATCACCTGGAGTTAGAGTTACAGGTGGCTGTGAGCCACCATGAGGAAGCTGAGAACTGAAACCTGGTCCCCGGGAAGAGCAGCCAGTGTTCTTAACTGATGAGCCATTTCTCCAGCTCCCTAGCCTTTTCTGCAGATGCAAAGGCTATGAGAAGCTTCATCATTGGCTTAGGAGTCAAGGGACTTGTCCAAGACCTACTAGTGAGGGGCAGAGCTGGAGCTCAGACCAGTGGGTCTGAAGGAACCCTGAGCCTGGCCTTGTCCACTTCTGCCGTTTACCACCCGGCATCAGGGACTTTAAGCAAAATCTCCAAAGCACTTCCCTCAACAGAGAAAAACAAGTGCATGAATATTAATCCTAATTAACCGTGCAGGCTGGTGTTTCAGGGGTGGAGTGCAAAGATGTAAGCAATCACTTTGGAACAATCAACAGTAAGATGGACTGGGCCAGGGACAGAGTACAGGTCAGCACTGGATAGGGTCCCCAGCACCGTGTATCAACTAGAGAATTTAAATGTGTGTTTAAGGTACTTACATATTTCCAACTTCCCATACTTTGAAATGTCTCACAATAAAATGAGGAAAATACCCACTGTCATTTCTCATCATCCAAGCCTGGTCCTTTCTTCAAAGACAATCACTAGAAGAAGCCGTCACTTTGGCCCCTCACCACTGATTCAGTGGCCACAGAGCACTCACTAGTTGGATATGGCATCATTTGTTTTACCAAATACCTCTCTGTAAGTATTTTCACCGTTTCCAGCATGTTAAGTATAGAATGTCGCAGTAAACTCCCTTGGGGAGGAGGCTGCTAGATCAAGAAACACCAATAGTTCAAATTCTGCTATTGCCAGGCACTCTGAAGGAGTTACCAAGAATCTCTTTTTCTATAACTGTAATAAACCTGGGCCTCAAATTTTAATTTCTGTGAAGATGAAAGAAAATGTTTAGTTACTTTTTTCCTGGTCCTGCTGGGCACAACATCCAGGGCGTTGTGTATAAACATGAAAAGCTGAGCATCTTTCTATAAGGCGTTTTCATATAAAACCAAAGCTACCCAATTTATCCTTACAACTTCTGTGGGGTTTTCCTTCTGCGCTGTAAGGTTCTCCCACAATTGTTTTGTTTTTACATTTGACTTGCGTTCTTCTAAAACTTTATTTAAAAACAGAGAAGAATTTGTATTTAACCCCCACATAGTCAACCCAACCTTATTTATTGAATGAATACCTCTTCTCCCCACACTTAAACCAAATGTTCATGTTTTTATTTTTTCCTGATAAATTCTGGAATCATCACAGCTAAAATGCAAACACAAAACAAAAATCTAACCGGGCTGGAGTATAGGTCAGTGGCAGAGTGCTGGCCTTGCATGCATGAGGCCCTCAGTATGATGCCTGGCACTGCACCCCCACCCAAGGGGAAAGACCACTTATTAAATTAGCATATTATAAACGAAGGAAAGTGGAGCCAGATACATTTGCTTAAAGCACAGTATGTAAACAAAATTCTTCCAAGCCATGGTAAAAAGACAATATTTGTTTAGAAGAATGAGCTAATGAGTATCTTGGAGCATCAAGGCCAAGGAGCTTAGCCAAAGGAGGGAGTTGATGCCACAAACATGGAGCAAGTGGGTCACAAGCTTCCTTTACAAGTTAGCCTAACACAGGAAGTACCCTGGTTCAATCAGCTCAGAAAGTCAGGCCCAAATTTGATCCAAATTTAAACTAAAAGTTCTCTTTTCACTCTTAAGAAGCAAAACCAAACGTGAGTGAGCTAAATCTACTGAATTTCTTATACCATCTCCTGGAACAGGGTTTCCATGGTTCACTGAAGAAGCACTAGCCGATTTCAGAACGCTGCCTCGGCCTCTGCACAAGTGTTTCAGTAGGGGCATCAAAGCACCCTGCTATAGTGTGAAACATGATTCTTAAATTTTCTTCAACTAAAAATATTGTCTGTGTACATGATATGTGTACGTGGGTGTATATGCTACGACATACATGTGGAGTCAGTTTTCTCTTTTCACCTTTATTACATGTGGGCTCTGGGGACCAGAACTTGGAAACTTGTGTGGCAAGCACCTCTACCTGCTGGGTCATCTCACTGCCTGGAAACACGTTTTATCTTAAAAGTTTCCTAAGGAACAAGGAAGTTCTATCTGATCAAAGATTTTTGGAAAAGATTTATTGTCTTTGTGCCTGCATGTGTTTATGTGTACCATGTGTGGGCAGGTGCCCAGGCAATGGAAGTTATAGGTAGCTGTGAATTGTTCAATATGACGCTAGGAACCATGCTCTTGACCTCAGCCAGCTCTCCAGCTCCCAGATTAAAGATGTTCTACACTGGCCAGGAGGTGATGGTACACACCTCTAATCCCGGCGCTCAGAAGGCAGAAGCAGGCGGATCTTTGTGATTTTGAGGCCAGCCTGGTCTACAGAGTGAGTTCCAGGACAGTTAAGGCTGTTACACAGAGAAACCTCGTCTCAAGCCATCCCCCCAAAGATGTTCCATAATGAATGTGTGTGGGTATCGATGTGTGGATGAGACATGGCCTCTTGCTGATTATATCTAGCCTCTGACAATACAACCAGTGGG